ACATATTTTGTGTATAATTGGAATAGAATTTCACGTAACGCGAAGGCTTCAAGTCCACACTTATAGCACAATATCATTTTATATTTCTTATTTTTAACACAAATTTCGAATGCTAAATAGTTATTTTGTTRTTTTCTAGTCTTCTGTGTGAAATTGGGACGACCATATTATTTTTTCAATAAAATATTACTTATTTTTRACAGCTTTTCATGTTTCCATTGTTCGCGTGTTTATACCGTGAAAAGGGTGAACTTCCACGTATTCTGACCGCTAGACGAAGTCGGGGACCCCCATTTTAATATTCTTATTTTACTTCTAGTATGATTTTTCATCTTGCAAAATTTAAAAAGCATCTGACGATTGGAGCTTTTGCCCATGAACGACCTTWATGTTATTATTTGATGGTCAATAGGGAACAGTGTGTCAAGATGACTGRGCCATGGAGGAATGCARGGTTGCTTGTCGACAACTTGGTTTCACCAAAGTTGTGGTACAATGGAAGAGGGACGGGACCAGTCTGGCTAGACAACATGGATTGCACTGGGTCAGAGACATCACTTGATAGTTGTTCTCACCCTGGATGGGGTGTTGCTGACTCTGGCTAGTGTTCTGGATAGTGTTCAAAAATGATATGGATTTTTTTGTCATAGCAACTATTGGATATTGACGATTGAGATGGATTGGTTTGGTTTGGTTTGGATAGGATTGGAAGACATTGCATTGGATTTATGACTTCCTAATTTCAAAGGCATTAAATATTTGTGGGTGAGAAACGTTATTTTATATCATTTTGATAGGGATTATTGGGGTCAGCAAATTTCTGACTGAATGACACATCAACTGTAGTGCAGTTCGGGCTTGTTATACAAACCTTTTAAGAAGTTGCTGTATATTGAAGATATTCTTTGAATTTCAGTGCTAAATTGCATCGATCTTTATTATATCCAAGCCATTCCCACTCATATTCAAATAGGCGGGGAAAATACGTAAAAATATTTTTGAGCTTCAAATTCGGTTACAAGTTATTCTATAACATATATCCATAGCCTAACATGATATTAATTGCTGTTTTTTATAAACTGCAATTAACTCAGCCATACAGCCATATGAAATTCTGATCCAACCTAAAATATAGTATATAACTATATCGTATGCATTATGCCTAATAGACCCGCGGGTTCATAGCTAATAAGTACCAAAGCGTTGGCTGGCCTACCGAATGTTGTTTATGAACCGCGCTAAAGTCAAGAGGCGAGAATGTGTTCACTTTTTAAAACCTCAACGCAATTGGAAAAAATGTCATATTGTAAATGGTTTTATTGATGTAAAGTGAATGATTGGAAGTTTTGGTTGAGTTTAAAATCGCTCTTCTTGGAAGTTTCGGTTGAGCTGAACTCAATTTGTTCTTCGCTTATTAATATGTGCCCTGCTAAAAGAATCAATCACTCCAAGGACAGCAAAACAAAACAGTCTGTAATACTTATGACAAAAGTGGTACAAAAATTGTTTATGAGCTACTCTGGATAGGATATTTTGCTTTATTCGTAGTCTACCCTGTTATTTCTATTGAGCGTCAACTCAGTCAAATCTCAGTTGATGAACAGGTTGAATATAATTTCTAGATAAACGAAGGTTAAATACKATTGCTCAGTGACTACATTTTGTGGCAAAAAAACTTTTTAGCTTGATTTTGTGTAATACTCATGTTTCTGATATATAACAGCAGATAAATAATACCAAATAAGTTACTTTTTTACGTTCTGCATCTCATTAGATATATCTATATCTATACTACAACCCTTTTGCAATCAAGTATCAGACAGAAGAAATGATTATA